ATCCCAGGGTCCTGGGATCGAGCCCCGCATCAGGCTCCCTGCTCAGCGGGAAGCCTGCTTCTCCCTCTCCCACTCCCCCTGCTTGTGTTCCGTCTCTCGCTGTGTCTCTCTCTGTCAAATAAATAAATAAAATCTTAAAAACAAACAAACAGTAACAGAGATCAAAAACCTTTAAGAGGCATACTTGTGCATACTTAAATCTTTACAGTATTTAAAGATGATCATCTCACAGCCGAAACACTCCTGACCTCTCTGTGAACCTGGCACTGCTGCTGGTTACTGTTCACTAGGTATGAAGGAAGCAGAAAGGGCCAATGTGAGGTTTCTCCTCACCACACCGAAATGAAGACCTGGTAGGTGCTCAGCTACTAGTCACTACTGAGCCCTGAGTTCTACCTCTTCCTCTCAGGTAGGACACTGGTTCTTTCCCAACCAACGAAAGCCATGCTATACAAGATTGTAGGAAAGCTGTAATTCACATGGATTCTGCGACCCAGAAAATACACCCCCTAATCCTGACTGCATTATTCCTCTGCCCAAAACCCAATGGCTTCCCATTTTACTGAGAAAAAAAGCTGAATCCTTCCTTATGAAGACTTACTAGGCCTACGTCTGACTTTATGTCTTTTTTTTTTTTCCCTCTGACTTTATGTCTTAATACTTTCCCTCATTCTCTCTGCGCTAGCTCAGGGACCTTTGCACTTGCTCTTCCTCTAACCAGAACATTCTTCCATCACAGCCACATGGCTCACTTTAAGTCTCTGTTCAAATATCTTCTAGGGCTGAGCTCTTCTCTGACCACTCTATTTAAAAGAGAGAAAAAAAAAAAGAGCATCCACTTAGCTCCCACACGCAGTGCTTTCTATCTTTATCTTCCCTGCTGCACTTACCAACACCTAACACCCTCTTTTTTTTTTTGACTTGTTTGTTAATTTTGACACCCCTTACCCCAAATATAAGCTCTGTTAGGGTAGGGACTTTTCCTGTTTTCTTACTGTATATTCCTAGCACCTACAATAGCTCCTGACATAATAGGTGCTTCAATAAAATTTTTTTTTTTGGTGAATAAGTTTTCAAAAAGGCATGAGGGGTTAGTATATTTAGTAAAAGATCCCATTAACCTTAAAGAACCAGTCAGGAGGGGCGCCTGGGTGGCTCAGTTGGTTAGGCGACTGCCTTCGGCTCAGGTCATGATCCCAGGGTCCTGGAATCTAGCCCCG